ACCTAGTCGCAGCAACACTGCCCGACTTGTTCAGTATCGTGCTATGGCGCGGCAACGCTTCTTTTTACAAAAACTCCAATATCTCCGGAACCAGTTGAGTCTCCATCGGGGCGCATGATTATTCCCCAAATGTCATTTTTCCGAAATGTTATTTTACCGAACTGCACTTTTGCGAATACTCATTTTTGCGAAAAGCCAATTTTGCGAAATGTCACTTTTGCGAATTAACATTTTTTCGAAAAGCTTTTTTTGCGAATTGTCATTTTTGCGAATCGCCATTTTTACGAATTGTCAATTTTCCGAAAAGTCATTTTTGCGAATCGCCATTTTTACGAATTGTCAATTTTCCGAAAAGTCATTTTTGCGAATTGTCATTTTTACGAAAAGACATTTTTGTGAAATGTCATTTTTGCGAAAAGACATTTTTCTGAAAAGTCATTTTTGCGATTAGTCATTTTTGCGAAAAGTAATTTTTGCGAATTGACATTTTCGCGAATTGTCATTTTTGAGAAATGTCATTTTTGCGAATTGTCACTTTTGCGAATCGCCATTTTTACGAATTGTCATTTTTACGAATTGTCATTTTTGCAAATAGTCATTTTTGCGAAAAGTTATTTTTACGAATTGTCATTTTTGCGAATTGCCATTTTTACGAATTGTCAATTTTCCGAAAAGTCATTTTTGCGAATCGTCATTTTTACGAATTGTCAAATTTCCGAAAAGTCATTTTTGCGAATTGTCATTTTTGCGAAAAATACAATAGAAAACTTGTAGGTCTATAAATTCACTATTGTATTTTTCGTAAAAATGACAATTCGCAAAAATGACTTTTCGGAAAATTGACCATTCGTAAAAATGGCGATTCACAAAAATGACTTTTCGGAAAATTGACAATTCGTAAAAATGTCAATTCGCAAAAAAAGCTTTTCGCAAAAATGACAATTCGCAAAAATGACAATTCGTAAAAATGACTTTTCGCAAAAATGACTATTCGCAAAAATGACAATTTGTAAAAATGGCGATTTGTAAAAATGGCGATTCGCAAAAGTGACAATGCGCAAAAATGACATTTCTTAAAAATGACAATTCGCAAAAATGGCAATTCTTAAAAATGACTTTTCGCAAAAATGGCTTTTCGCAAAAATGACATTTCACAAAAATGTCTTTTCGTAAAAATGACAATTCGCAAAAATGAGTTTTCGAAAAATTGACAAATATAAAAATTTCGATTCGCAAAAATGACTTTTCGGAAAATTGACAATTCGTAAAAATGGCCATTCGCAAAAATGACAATTCGCAAAAATATCTTTTCGCAAAAATGACAATTCGCAAAAGTGACATTTCGCAAAATTGGCTTTTCGCAAAAATGAGTATTCGCAAAAGTGCAGTTCGGTAAAATGACATTTCGGAAAAATGACATTTGGGGAATAATCATGCGTCCCGTCTCCATCAATTTCTTTTTTTTAAATTAAAGATGAATTCATAAGAAATCCAAATATGTTAATAACATTTCTCTCAAAAAGGAGTAAATAAACAAAAAATTGTTTAAAAAAAATTTTTTTAATAACTTTATTTTCATTTTAAAGTATATATATTTTTACCTGAAAAATGTATAAATTTCATAAAAATCCATATACAATATTACGAAATATTCAAAATTATGAAGCTGAGACTAGCACCCACTTATTTTGGAAATTGAATTCTACAATTAATAATTTTTTTTGCTTTAAACGAACATAAAATTTTGAAGAATTAAGTGTGCGCTAATAACTGAGTACAAGTTTTAGCTTCATAAAAATATTTAATAACGGTAACATTTAATTTCAAAAATGAAGTGCGTGCTGATAACTGGGTGCTAGTTTTCGCTTCATTTCAAAATTTTATAAAATTAATATTAAAATTTAAAATGGAGCATCTTCAACAATTGAGCCTCCCAATTCAAGAACTCGCCCGACGCTCGGATGAACACTCTAACGCCAGTCAAACGTTAAGAAAAGTCACAAAAATTAAAATTTGAAATTTTGATTTTTTTAGAAGCACTACCTTGTAGGAAATTGAATAGCGCATCTTGTTTTCCTTTGAATTTTTTTCGTAGGATGAATATTGTCGGAAATAATGACGAAAAAAGGTAAAAATTTTGTTTTTCAAATTTCATTGCTTTTTAAAACATAAATCATCGTATCTTCGACAATTATTGTCGAATTGACTTCAAATTTGGTATGCAAGTCTATTTGGGCTCTGGGAAGACGATAAAATGATCAGAATGTAAAAATTTCCTAATTGTTCACTAATTTGTTAATGTAAATAAAGGCTTGTCAATTTTAGGTTAACTTACCTTCGTCGAGAAAAAGTCTGCGGTGAACTTTCGAATTGAAAAAACTTCCAGTGAGACATTTGTTTATTAGTATATAAGGAAGTTTTTTTGGAAAATATTAGATTGATTTAGTAAAAAATGTGGAAAATACACTGGAACCCCCGAGGTTTGGACTCCCAAAATTTGGATTGTTTTGACATAGAGTATAGACAAAGTAGAGTGAGGGGTCGGCGGAAAGCGCGGACAAACGTTGAACTAGAAGCAGTAGCGTTTGCATAAAGTGTACCCTTTTGTGGCTCTTTTGAAAAACTTGTTAATAAATTTAATCTTGTGAATCAGTTGTTAATTATAAATATAAAAAATTGAAAACAATGTTTTTCAATTATGTTTTAATAAATTGACAACAAAATTGTCATTGAATATGTAATATTCATTAAGCGCATATTCGTTTTAATGAAGTGTACGGCCCTGAATATTTATACTTTCAGGCGTCAAGGTGTCCCCTCCGAAGTTTGGACACCATTACATAGCAATCCAAACCTCGGGGGTTGCAGTGTATTAAGGTTTAAAGTCAGCGCGGAGAGCGCGACATCCAGTCGCGGCGTGCAAATATCACTAAACACCAACTTTATAGGACGTCAGTTGTTGAATTTGTTCTTATTACCTCGGTTATTACTCAGTACTTTAAAAAAAGCATTAAATAAATTATTGGGGTATAATTATAACGCTATGTTTAACATTATAACAAACATAAAAATTCTATAAATAATAAAGAACTAGCAACAATTCGCGCGGCTAACTTTTTACTACATTTTATAAATAAAATTAGCAATTTTAAAAATAATAGAATTTGAAAACTTTCTAATTTAAATTTTTGTTGAAAACACTAAAAAAAATTCAATTTTGGAGAAATTACAAATAATTGCAGAAATTCAACTATTTTCAAAAAAAAAAATAATAAAATTCTTCTTATAAAATTCAACTATGTACAAAATTTGAAAAAAAATTTTGTAAAAATCCCAATTATCTTTATAAATAACAAAATTCTTTTCCAAAGTTTAATTATTTTCCTAAATGTCAAAGAAATTCTTGTCCTAATTTCAATTATTTTCAAAAATTTTTCTAATCATTAGAAAAATTAATTAATTAATTAATTAATATTATTATTATTATTATTATTATCAATTAAATGCTCTAATTTTATAGGCTATTAATTTCTGTAAAATTCTTAAGACAAACAATATTAGTTTAACCCCTTAGAGCTCTTGGTTTCATAATTAGAAATGCATCAATGTTTCATAATATTAATACACTAAGAATTCTTTACTTCTCTTTGGTAAGATCTCTCCCATGACTACAGTACATTGAGATTATCATTTAATACTCCACTAATTGCATCCAGATTTCTTTTTAATGACTTGACTTTTTTTCATAAGATTATAAATGGTATAAATAATTGTTCAAATTTATTATCATTATTTAATATGTCTGTCCCTATAAGGGCAACTAGAAATTATACACTGTTTTTGGAGTCCTTTCATCGAACAAACTACGGTTATCACTCTTTTGTAACAAGATTAAGTAGAGAGGCTAATTCGATGTCAAATATTGTTGACTTTTTTGAAAGTAACTTCTTAAGATTCACCTCTTCATTGCGTAGGTTTATTTTAGACTTTTGAGTTAAAACTACCTAGCGTTGATTACACAGTTAATATTGTATAATATAAGTTGCGGTTGCAACTTTTAGATTGTAAGAGTACTATGTACGAAAGGGCTTGTCCCGTGTACTTGTTAAATAAATAAATAAATAAACATCAATACATTATTTTGACTTTTCGTGAGTTTTCCGCAATTTTTACACATTTTCCGATATTAGAGAAACATTTAGATATGTTGGCAGATATAAAATTGATTTAGAACTAAATTTAGTTAACTTTGTTTAACTCTAAACTGATTGTGACTACCTAAGCACAATTTCTTACAATTTTCACAATTTTTCCATAGATTTCCCGAATTTCCAGTCAATAAAAAAACGTATAACAGTTATTCCAGAGCAAAAAATAATTTAGAAATGAATTTGAATTACTTCTGTCAGTTTTGAGACAACATCAATATATTATTTTACTATTTTTACTTTTCCTGAGTTTTCCGAGAAAGATTTTCACACATTTTTCGGACATTAGGGAAAAATTTAGATATCATTGTAGATGTAAAATCGTTTTGGAATTAATCTTAGTTCTTTACTCTACCCAAAACCGATTCTGACCACTTAAAAATCATTTTTTCTCTTATTCTAAAATAATTCTTATTTTTTCCGAGGGTATAAGGGAAAATGAAGGTTACTACTCGATTCCTGAGCTCAAAATCTATAAGAATTCACTCGAAATTTACTTATCGCTTCGGGGGCAAAAATCGACCTTTTTTTTAACATCCTCCTTTCTAATTAAGTTAATTGAAAATTGAAATTTCATAGTTTATGAGACAAGCAAAAAAGACACAAGAATTCAGAATGTTTTTACAAATTCTAAAAATTTAATTTTTTCCAGTACTTTTAACGAAAATCCCTGACTTTTTCTGAATTTCCTGACGTGTGGCAACCTTAATTTTATACTAAAAATATGGTATGTTGTTGCAATTTCTGAAAATAAGTCAAAGAAAGCCCCTTTTTGAAAATTGTATGACTTACATTCAACCCGATGAAGAAGTCAGTCAAATCGGCTTCAACAATATCGTACGGCAAATTTGAGACATAAGCAACAAATGGAGGACTGGTTGGAATATTTTCCTCATTGAATCCTGGTTCTCGAGCGGCTCGCGGAGCCGTTGGCAGGATAACAGGTTCTTTGCTACTTCTCGCCATATATCCATCTAAAATATAAGTATAGATATGAATAGAATTAACAAACTTTGTATTTAAGCAAAGGTAAAATTAGATCAAATTTTATTTTCTTTTACAACTTTAAATAAGTATAATAAAAATTAAAAGGTTTCAACTAGTTAAAAATTGTAATATTTTGAAATATAGAAAAGTGGAAGTTATCCTATAAATATTTTTGAAAACTTTATTTCTCTAAATTTTATACATTCTTTCTACACAGGCCTCAAATTATTTACTTTCAAAATGATAAAAAAATTTGAAATAAATTCAAAAATATGTCCAATAAACCGGAAACTGAGATGACTTAATAATATGTAAAATACAAATAAAAGTATTAATGTATCTTTCATTCCGTGTCGTTAATCAAATGAAATGTTTAGTTGAAAGAGTTTACAAGTTTTTCTAAATAAATTAAAATATCTTCAATACTCTTGTCATCAAAATCGTGAGGCGTTCTGTTTTTTGAGTAAAACAGAAATAAGAAAAGAATTAAGAAAACTTTTGTCGATAGACAATTATTGATTTTACAAAAAGATACTCAATGGTCCTTGATTATAAATTTTGTTTCTAGAACTAAAATTTAGATTGAAATTATAAGTAAATGGTAATGGGGAAAAAGAGTTTTGGAATGTAGAATGATTACATAAAGAATAGAAATAAAATAAAAAAGAGGAAATTATTTGGGAGGAAAAAACACGTAAGATGGGGAGGGGGATGGCATGTGAATCGCATTGCACTCACCATGTTCGTCCTCGATGTCGTCTGCCCAGTTGGCTGATTTCAATGGTATGCTGGGAAGACCGCCAGGGGAATCGGCGAGAAAATCATGAAGCGCTACTGTCTTCCCTTTGCTTTTTTTACCCTTCTTTCCTGTGAAAAAAATGCATACAACTTAATTTGTACAATATTGAAACCATGCTGCAAGCTCCAGAAAATGTTTGGTTATGTCAACAGAAATTCATATAAAACTCATGCTAAAAAGTATTTCCGAAAGGTAAAATGAGTCTTATTTAAATAATAGGAACTCATATTACATAGTACACTATGACACTCACCCGAAGACATGTTCGAATTCGAGATATTTAATAATAAAAATTAGTGATAATATAGTTCCACACAACGATTTTTAAGGAAAGGAGACATGAAAAGAGCCCTAAGGCCTGACTTGAACATGGGCGATCAGGATGTGATCGGGTTGCATACATTTGTATCAGAATGAAAAGAGCATAATGACTATTATGTCGAATTCACAAACGTAGAATCTGTAACTTTACGAATTTATTTTTATCGAATACAAAATTTAAGAAAATTATTTTCACGAATTAACATTGACATAATTTTTATTTTCACTAAACAATAATTGATAGAATTTTAAAATAGTCGATTTCTTATTTAGTCGAAAGTTTAAAAATCCGAAATTTAATTAAACCTAATTTTATTTTGTCGAATGGTGGTTCAATATAATGTGAATATTAACAAAATTTATTATAGCCAAATTTATAACTAACCTAAATGTAACTGAACCGAAAAGTAATATTACATATTCCTTATTCTATAGAAATTAAAAGTGTTCGAATTATCATTTAATCGAATATTTATTATATAGAATTAATTTTAATCGATATTTCGAAATCTCGAAATGCAAATTAATCTAAACTAATTTTTAAGGAAAATACAACTAAGCGAATTTCTAATTATCCGAAAACTAATTTGGTAGAAAATTTTTGTGGGTGAATTTAATTTGAGCCAAAAAGCAAGTAGCCGAAACGTCATCTATTATAATCTTAAAATGGCGAAAAAGCTATTTGTAAGAATGGTTAAATAGTCGAAACGCCATCTATTCGAATTGTCCAGTAGACGATTCGTAATTTAGTCGAATGGACAAAACGTCGAATTTTGAAAACATCGAATTGTCAATTCGTCGAATTCTCAAAACATTGAATTGTCAATACGTCGAATGTTTAAAACGTCGAATGATAAAAACGTCGAATGCAAAAAACATCGAATCGTCAAAAGTTCGACAAAATTTGTTTGATCTAAGTAAACATTAACTTAAAACAAAGAAATCTTTACTTATACAAATTTTTTCGAACTTTTGACGATTCGATGTTTTTAGCATTCGACGTTTTTATCATTCGACGTTTTAAACATTCGACGTATTGACAATTCGATGTTTTGAGAATTCGACGAATTGACAATTCGATGTTTTCAAAATTCGACGTTTTGTCCATTCGACTAAATTTTCGAATCGTCTAATGGACAATTCGAATAGATGGCGTTTCGACTATTTAACCATTCTTACAAATAGCTTTTCCGCCACTTTAAGATTATAATAGATGACGTTGCGGCTACTTGCTTTTTGGCTCAAATTAAATTCACCCACAAAAATTTTCTACCAAATTAGCTTTCGGATAATTAGAAATTCGCTTAGTTGTATTTTCCTTAAAAATTACTTTAGATTAATTTGCATTTCGAGATTTCGAAATATCGATTAAAATTAATTCTATATAATAAATATTCGATTAAATGATAATTCGAACACTTTTAATTTCTATAGAATAAGGAATATGTAATATTACTTTTCGGTTCAGTTACATTTAGGTTAGTTATAAATTTGGCTATAATAAATTTTGTTAATATTCACATTATATTGAACCACCATTCGACAAAATAAAATTAGGTTTAATTAAATTTCGGATTTTTAAACTTTCGACTAAATAAGAAATCGACTATTTTAAAATTCTATCAATTATTGTTTAGTGAAAATAAAAATTATGTCAATGTTAATTCGTGAAAATAATTTTCTTAAATTTTGTATTCGATAAAAATAAATTCGTAAAGTTACAGATTCTACGTTTGTGAATTCGACATAATAGTCATTATGCTCTTTTCATTCTGATACAAATGTATGCAACCCATGTGATCATAGACATTTAAGTCCAACGCACCACAATAGGTTTGCGAAAGTCGTTCGCGAACGAGACGCATGCGATAGACAAGGACACAAATATATCTCTGTCCTTTTCTAACACATGCTTTGCGTTCGCGAACGACTTTCGCGAATCTATTGTGCTTAGGCCTTTAAGGCCAACGCACAACTGCTTCGCGAACGTCGTTCGCGAATGTAAAGGCCTTTCTCCAAAGGCCTTTCTCCAATAGGTTCCCAAAACTCTGTGTCTGCGTCGGTTGCTATAGCAACACATGCTAAAATCAACGCAACGCAGTCATTCGCAGACAAACGCAGAGTTTTTGGATACTATTGGAGAAAGGCCTTAATAGGATCCAAAAACTCTGCGTTTGTCTGTCAAGGAACTTAGGCCGCAGTCCCATGGCAGCGTTTTGCGTTGTGTTGTAATGAGAGAGAATGCAGCAAACGTATATTTGCGTCTTTTTCTTTCCCATTACGACGCAACGCAAAACGCTGTCATGGGACTCCACCCTTACGAAGAGGCGGGTTCCTCTCTACGTGCCGCACAACACGAGTGAGTGCCGCATGGTGGCGCGTAGAAGCTTCCGTAAGACAGAGAAAGAAAGACATATACTTCTATCCTTCTTAAGGCGAGAACAGAATGCCTATGAAAACGTGTACGTTAACGTGAACGTGGTCACGTGACCCATTTGAATAACATTGTGACGTCAGCACGTTACACGTTCACGTAGGCTATTCTGTTCTCGCCTTTAAACTCACTGCTCAACGCAAAACGCAGCATGTAAACACAGCATGAAGGCGATTTTTTCGACAGATGGAACAGATGGAGTATTGCAATAACCGATCCCATTGTGGACTGAACCTAATAGATTATAGTTTGACCATCTCTAGTCTTTTGTACATCATTGCATGCCTTTCTTCTTGTTGAAAACGAAGAAACTGCGGCAAACGCAGAAACACGCAGAAAGTAGAGCTTTTGATTCTCAACTGTTAAAAGTCAAAGATAATTGAAGACAATCTCTTCTTTGTCACATTTTACGCGGGGGTAGTGAATCACAGAGTTTTGTCCTCATATATTCTGTTACTTGTAATTTTTAACAGAAACGTAAGTGTTTACAGATAAAAATATATTGAATAGTATTATTTGCATTACCGGCTTCTATATCGATTTTCCATTGCCTGTTGCCTTGTTGAAAAAAAATGTATTCTTAAAAAAGTGATCGATATTTCTTGTAAGCATGATAAAAGTTTTAAAAAGATATAGTAAATCTCCAATTTCTGTAAAATTCTATCAAATTGTTGTTAGATTTATAAAAATACGTTATGACAGTGATTACTTTGGTAATTTTCGCAGTTGTGAAACGGTTTTTTTGAAATCGAGTATCCCCTACTCTCTCTCTCTCTCTCTCTCTCTCTCTCAGTTAATCAAGTTATGTCAATTATTTGTCTTTATTTATTTAATATTTCAGTTTTATTATATAATAGGACAAAAAAAATTCTTGTGAATGAAAATTTTATGCTTGAAAATAATTAGCCGAAAAATATTTGTAAAATAATTACTCTGAAAGCCATGTGATATTAATTAACCAAATGCGAATAATATTTAATCACTGTTTATGTTTTTCAGTGAAAATGCCAGCCAGAGAACCCGACGCATCAGGTCGAATGGCCAAATTTAAGTTCAATAACAAACATGATGTAAGAACAATTTTCTGTTTTTTTCAAAATCACTAAAATATTTCCTTATAAAATTAAAACATTTGCATTATTCCTAAATTGCTTTTCTTCCTTTTATAATATAATAGTGTATGCATGACTTTCAGTCATTAAAGATAAATTTGCATGATAAATTTATCTTAGTGAATATTCTCTTAAAAAACTTTATTGCAAATACAAATAATTTAACTTTTTTCCTATCTAAACATGAATTTAAAAAATACATATATTTTCAAGTCTATTTTGACAATTTGTAAATTCAGATTCTGCCAAAAAAGAAATGTTTAAAAATGCAAAAAAAATTTCCTAACCAGAATCAATGATTACCTTTATTTAAATATTGATACCTTTTTTCCATTAATTAAAATCCAAAATGTTTAAATATTAAATTTGATTTTTAATACTTTTTGTTTTTTTTAATAATTTAATAAATGAATTAAATATGAATAATTTAATTCATTTAATTACAAAATTAATACAGGGATCGCAGTTAGTTCCCTTTTTTCCTATTGTCCCTCTTTTTATCCCCTTAAATTAATCAAATTTCCTAAAACACCTGATATCCTAAATTTTCTCCCTTTTTCCCTTTATTTTTAAAAAAAAATTATAAAAGTTGTCATTTTTTGTTAATTAGAAAACTTTTAGTTGTGTTTAACCCGTCAGCACTATCGCTTTTTTTAGTGTCTCACTCGCACTCCAAGAGTTCCCTATAGGTTGAGTAGTGTTGCGTGAGACTTTTTCTCTATAGCGCGAGTGCTGACGGTTTAAAGAAAAAATTTTTATTTTTCACAAACTTTGGAAAAATTTTAGTATTTTTTCATAAAAGGTAACAAATATAAAATAAAAATTTTACTTCTAAGAAAAATCCGATTTGTTTGCAATTTTTGAAAAATCGTATTAATTTTAGAATAAATTTTACTAAATTGAACGTATAACTTAATTATTTTTTTATAAAATTTACTACTGATATTATAAAATTTACTCTGGAATAACATTTTTATATTAAATTTTACTATTTTTGAAGGAAATTTTTCTAAGTCCCAAGTTAATTTTACTAATTTTTTTTCTAAAATTTACTTCGTATATCGTAAATGTCATGTAATTTTAAAACAAATGTAGCATTGTAATAAAAATTTTGATTGAAAATGTAAAGAAAGTTACAAAGTTAAAGTTGTAATAAATTAGGTTTTAGAATAGGGTAGGTCCATGCCTAAAAAACCAAAGTTGGCTCCTACTTCTTCGACTTTGTTGAAACTTCTAAATTTTTAAGTGGAATACATGCCAGGAAAGAGCCCAAAATCGATTTAAAAAAATTTTGGTTTTACGAGGTTTTTAAAATTTTTTTGAAATTTTGAAAATGATATATCTCAAAGAAAAAATAACGAAATTTAATAAAATTTACAGGAAATGCTTATTATTGACTAACAATTATGAAAAATATTTCGTCAAACAAAAAATTTTTTTTTAAACAAATTAGTTAAAAAATAATTTTTAAATAAACAATTTTTTGAAAAGTGACATTTTTTGCTTTTAATAACAATGATTCGATTCCCACTTATTTCACGAGTATTTTCCAAAAAAAAATTGATGGAGGGTCTGAAACTTTAGGATATATTGAATTTTTTGTCCTTGCGCGCAACCGTTAAAAGCGCATTTTCAGGTTATACTCTACATACAAACTAATGTTCAAAATCACCTATAATTCTGAAATTTTAACCGAATTCAATTTTTCTTTTTGGAAAATGCCAGGCTATAAATTTTTAAGAATACTGTGCATTTTAAAAATTTTTATTTGTTTAAGGAGACATTCCAGTTCAAAACAGGAAAAAACAAGGCCTTTTTAGTATATATATTATTAAAATAACTACGACATTTATTTATAAAATTCCTTTTACACGCGACAAATAATTTATTTAAGAATATGCAAAAAGTTTTTTTTTCATTTTTACTTCAAAATGGCGGCGATATACGCCATTTTTAAAAATGTCCATTTCTTATGGTAAGATCGATTCCAAACTTTGTAAAACAGATAAAACCAAAAACGAAGTGACATTCTCTTCGTTAAATATTTCTTTAGTTGTGGAACCTCAAAAAAGTGGAACTTTCTTCCCCTCCTTTTTTTTAGAGTACTTTTTCCCCAAAACATGAAACAAACACATGTTTTTATTCAGAATTTCTCTTATAAATAAAAAGGGAGTTGGAAATTTTACAGTTTTTGAGATTCCACTTATAGACAAGATGACAATGAATCAAATGCCGTTTGATTTTTCAAAATCGCTTCATAAGAACCAGGGACCGTCACGGAATCAAAACAAAATTAAAAAATACTTTTGTTTTGATTCGGATATGGGTATCAGAATCAAAATTCCACTCTATTTAGTTTTGATTCCAATATCAAAATCAAAATTCAACTCTATTTCGTTTTGGTTCCAATATCAAAATCAAAATTGAACTCTATTTCGTTTTGGTTTGAATATCAAAATCAAAATTCCATTCTATTTCGTTTTGGTTTGAATATCAAAATCAAAATTCCATTCTATTTCGTTTTGGTTCCAATATCAAAATCAAAATTCCATTCTATTTAGTTTTGATTCCAATATCAAAATCAAAATTCTTTTTTGTTTTAATTTTGATAAAATACTACTGCGCGTGTATAAGTCTCATTGAACCTAAATTTTGTTGCAAATGTCAAATATATCAGAAGATAATATCGTTTTTACATACGAAATCTGAAATAGAATTCGAATCGACTTCTGTTTCTATAAGAAAACCGAATTGCAGTATTATAATATCAGAATCAAAATAGGAAGTAAATTTTGTTTCGTTAACGTATCAGAATCAATATAGGAAGTGAATTTTGTTTCGTTACATTATCGGAATCAAAATAGGAAGTGAATTTTGTTTCGTTACAGTATCGAAATCAAAATAGAAAGTGAATTTTGTTTCGTTACAGTATCGGAATCAAAATAGAAAGTAAATTTTGTTTCGTTACAGTATCGAAATCAAAATAGAAAGTGAATTTTGTTTCGTTACAGTATCGGAATCAAAATAGAAAGTAAATTTTGTTTCGTTACAGTATCAGAATCGAAACAGGAAGTAAATTTTGTTTCGTTACCGAATCAAAATCAAAATACATTAATAATTTCGTTTTGTTTTGGAATATCGTAACGAAATCAAAATTTGATTTCCGTGACGGTCCCTGATAAGAACTCAAGATTGATAAGTTTGGACAATTTTTTAAAAAAATCATCGGACTTGCTTGAAAATCGTTACTCGGGGGTCGCTAATTACGAATATCGTATCAGATTTTTAAAATTCAAAATGGCGGATCCAATATGGCGGACAATTTTTTTTAAGTAATCAGATTTGCTTAAAAATCGTTAATGGGGGGTTTTTGGAGTCGCTGATTACGAATACGATATTAGATTTTTGAAATTCAAAATGGCGAATCTAATATGGCGGACAATTTTTTTTAGTCATCGGATTTGCTTGAAAATAGTTACTGGGGGGTTTTTGGGGTCGCAGATTACGAATATGATATTAGATTTTTGAAATTAAAAATTGATTAATTTTGAAAAATTGCCTGCCATATTGGATCCGCCATTTTGAATTTTTAAAAACTGATGTCAGATTCGTAATCAATAACCCCGAAAACCCAGACAATTAAATTTTTAAAATAAATCCACAATTTAAAAATGTTTGAACAATAAATTGAAATTTTTAAAAATTTAATTGAAAATAATTGATTTTCTTCAAGTATTTTATTATGTACAATTTTTGAAATTAACTTTTGCAGAATAATTTTTAATTTTTAAAAATTCCCTGTTGCGTCACTCATACGCCACAAGAGACAGCGCCTTAACTTAGGCAATGTGGTGGCAATCTACTAGCGACAGCTATATGTTGTTAATTTATTTTAACAATTTTTTTTATGTAAAGATGGTTATTTCATCCCCTCCTAAAAATGATGTATTATTATTAATAATACACTCGATTCTCGTTATAACGACGATCTTGGGACTTCGAAATCTCGATATTACGACGGAAGGAGGAATCCTACTTCACGTTCTATTCAAACACATGAATTTATCTGTGATTAACAGAACAAAACGTCAAATACGTGTAAAAATTTCGTAAAGTATGTTTATTTATATTAAAAGTTTCTGCATTATGGAATCAGTTAAAAGAAAAAGTAAGAATTTTTAATAATAATCAGATCACTGATTCTTTAGGTTAAATAAAGTTAAGGGTTGATTAACTTAGTCGTTTTTTTTTGAGTTAACCAAAATTTTGGTTAAATTAAATTCTTAAATTCGTTCGTGTTTTTTTTGTCGTTGTATCGAGAGTTTTAATGTTCGTTGTAACGAGAGAACGTTGTAACGAGATTCGTTATAACAAGATTCGAGTGTATAATAAATTAAATGTTTAAAATGCGATTAGAAAACATTAATTTTAAAGTAATTTTAAAAATAAAAACCTTTATGTTTTTTCTAAACATTTTTACAACATTTTTAATCTTTGTCAATAATATTAACAACATTCTAATTATTAGATTAAACATGAAATAACCATGTTTACATAAAAAAAATTGTTAAAATAAATTAACAACATATAGCTGTCGCTAGTAGATTGCCACCACATTGCGCTGTCTCTTGTGGCGTATGCGTGACGCGGGAGGGACTTTTTAAAAATTAAATAACTTTGTTATTTTTAAACAAATTTATTTGAAATTTTCAGAAAAACTTCGTTGAATAATATATAGAACAACTTTCTCACTGGAAGTTTGTTCAACTCAAAATTTCCCTCGATACTTTTTCTCATCGAAAATAAGATAACTTTATTGCTGACAGGTCATTGTTTATAATAAAAAACAATTAAACAAAAAATAATTTTAAAATGTTTTATGACTTTTTCTGTTTTAGCAGACCCAAATGAGTATGTACATAAAAAATTCCGAGCAAATTCATTAACATTTTGTATGCAAAAAGACCGTCTGCATTTTAAAACTTAATTAAATTTCTAAACACAAATTTTTTGGTTTTTATTTTTTAATATGAGAAATATTAGCTCTACAAAAAAAATTCATTAAGAAAAAAGATGTATTTTTTTGTTATCTAAAAGATGCCGTTCTTTAAAAACCAAAATTTTGAGTTTTCATTTTTCTCACTTTTGACCCGACTGACTGGCTTCTCAGCATTTCAGCCGAGCGTAAATCGAGTTATTTGATTGACCTCCTCAATTATTTTCAATTATAAATTTCCGAAAGTTTAAATACGTACCAAAAATGATATAAAAATTTTTTATAGTTATTTTTAACGTTTTAGAGAAAACAGTCATGTACAAATTTTTTAATTAAAATTCTAGAAAAAATGAATTAATTTTTTAAAGTATAAAAAAATTCTTTTAAGAAATTGAATTATTTTCGAAAAATTATGTTACAATATTTTTAAAAAAATAATTCTTAGAATTGTCTTATCAAACAAGTTCAAAGTTTCAAAGAAACTTTGAACAAAGTAAATTAAAGTGTTTAAAATTTTTCCTTTTTAGACTTATTAAAATTTAGAAGAAATCATGTTCATATTTATAATTAAAATCTTGAAAAATAGAAATAACATTTAAAAAATTCTAGCAAATTTCAATTGTTTGGAAATTTTTCAATTGTATACATAATGAAAAATTTCTATTTTTAGTAGTTCTTTTGTTTGTAATATTAACCTTTTAGTTTTTAAAAACGTCAAATTTGTATTAAAATATAAAAAGAAACTATTAAACAGTATGTATTAATAATATATATTTTATTTTTACTAGAAAGAAAAATAATTGGATTGATTATTATTTCTAATAGGAAGCACGTCGGAGAAGAAACGAGGTTAGCGTGGAATTGCGAAAGGCTCGTAAGGACGATCAAATGCTGAAACGTCGCAATCTCACTGAAGATGACAGTGATCCTCAAAGTCCACCGGGAGCAATTAAATCTCCGGCTCTCTCTGTGGACGAAGTAATCACTGGTATGATTTCTTCCGATGAGGCGATTGTTCTTCAAGCTACGCAAACATGTCGAAAGATGTTGAGCCGCGAGAAAAATCCACCAATTGATACCATGATATCGAAGGGAATTGTACCACGTTGCGTCGAATTCCTTGGTTATCATCATAAGTACGTAACTTGGTGATTCAAGATCATTCAGTTTTCTTAGTTCTTAAATTGTTTTTATTTCTATGTTGCAGTGCTTCCCTCCAGTTTGAAGCTGCATGGGCATTGACCAATGTTGCGTCCGGCACTTCGGAACAAACTCATGTCGTTATTGAACACGGAGCAATTCCAAAATTGATTGCCCTCCTCGAATCTCCCCATCCAAATGTGGTGGAACAAGCAGTTTGGGCACTGGGCAACATCGCCGGAGATGGGCCACCGGCTCGTGATCAAGTCCTCTCTCAAGGCGCTATGCAACTTTTAGTTGGTCTTATCAAGCCTACTATACCTGTGAGTATTGGCAAAACTTTATCATTTTATTATCTCTCGTCACTTGAAAATAAGAAGAAAATAAGAAAAACTATTCATTTTAGGTTACTTTTGCACGTAATATTGTTTGGACGATATCAAATCTTTGTCGCAATAAAAATCCAGCTCCGCCTTTCGATAGTGTCAAAGTCGCTTTGCCAATGTTAAAAAATCTTTTGACTAACAATGACAAAGATATTCTTGGTAAGCTAATTTTAATTATGTTTTTCATTTATATAGTTAAGTTTCTTCAAATTAACATAAAATAATAATAACGACGGGGGAAAATTAAATTAAATTTTTGTAGCAACCTTGATAATATCGTGTCATTCTAACTTGAATTCATTATCAAGGAAAATAAGTTTCTTCATTATTTACTAAATTAATTGTAAGAGTATAAATGTGATAAGTACATAGGATGAATGTTTTGTAATAGCGGATGCATGTTGGGCGCTTTCTTACTTGACTGATGGCCCCAATGAGAAAATTCAAGCAGTACTGGACTGTGGACTTGTTCCGCACTTGGTTGCTCTGCTCGGTTCATCAGAAGTTCAAGTTCTAACACCTGCACTGCGCTCAGTGGGCAATATTGTCACAGGCAATGACACTCAAACTGATGCAATCATTAAGGCAGAAGCTACAAAATATCTTTGCGCTCTCCTGCAACATCCAAAAGGTAATATTGTTAAGGAGGCGGCCTGGACTATCAGCAATATCACAGCTGGAAATCCAGAACAAATACAACAGGTCATCGACGCTGGCATTTTGCCACCTTTAATAAATGTTCTTCAATCTGTAAGTTTCAAATATCAATTAGTCATTTATTTTTATTTTCAAAATTCTGGGGCCAATTCGTTACACTTTACATTTTAATTGCATTTTTCTAGAAAGTGTGTAAATATTTCAGCGATTCCATGTCAATTGATCAAGGGGTTTTACGGTACAATGCTTATTTTTAGAGAGATTAAATTATTTAAAAAAATGTCAATAATTTTGACAAAACTTATTAATATTAAGATAAGTAAATTTGTCAATTTTAAAAAATACTAATAACATAATTTACAATACTACGAATTATTATCAGATTTTTCTAAAAATTGGTTGCATCCACTTTGGATATGAAATATAATGAATTGTGACTCTATACCTATTTAAAACATGTAATAATTTTTACCCCTAAAAATAGATTAATGTTAGGAACTTAATTTTTATTTTCCTTTAAAAACAGGGGGACTTCAAATCACAAAAAGAGGCAGCATGGGCAGTTACTAATATGACATCCGGTGGAACCGTTCAACAACTCGCAATTCTCGTTCAAATGGGAGTACTCGGTCCGTTCTGTAATCTTCTCGATTCCAAAGATTATAAATCGGTTGTAGTTGTACTCGACGGTTTGACGAACATTTTAACAGCTGCTGAGAAAATGGGAGAAGTCGAACGAATTGCCATTATGATTGAAGAAACAGGCGGTCTTGATAAACTTGAAAATTTGCAACACCACGAAAACGAACAAGTCTATCAGAAGGCCATGTCACTAATGGACAGTTACTTCACAGAACCCGTACGTCATCTTTGTACTTTTTTTTAGTAATTGTTGTAAATTATTATTATTATTATTATTATTATTATTATTATTATTATTATTATTATTATTATTATTATTATTATTACTCTTTAGGAGGCGGAAGATCAGAACTTGGCACCAACGACTGTTGACGGCCAACTCAATTTTCAAAGTGGAGCTGCACCACAAGGCGGATTCAATTTTTGAAAATTATGCTCTAGGCTTACATTCGAGATAAGATTATTTTTCACTTTGTAAATAATTCAAAAACTTGAAAAGAAAAAAAAGTTGAATGTTTAATTTTGAAAATAATTCCACTTCAAAAGTAGCAAGTATTTTCATTCATGTTAAAATAGTCAGGGCTTTTTTTTTAAAAAAAAGTTTTTTCAAACTGTCTTCTTTAGTTTTAAAGTAAAATGAAACATTGTCAATATATCACTCAAGAGTATTAAAATTACTGATTATTTTTTTTGCCCGCGTAACTATTAATATAATTAAGACGCGAATTTGCTTTCTAACTTGACGAACTAGTATTACTATTAAGAAATGCATCATTATTTTTACGATATCAATATACGAATTATTATTTAAATTTAGAAACTCGTCATTTTAGATTTTTTTAATGGATAGTGATGTCTAAACCTTGTTTTTCTTTGATATACTAGATAAAAATTATCGTTTTCTACATCGTGTGATAAAAATGCGGTACAGTTTCTTTTCTATAGATTTTATAAATGAGAAACAAAAAAAAATGTATTGGCGACGTTCTGTCCGAAAACTCTGTTGAAAAAGATTACAAGTCAAATATTTTCTATTTTTATTACTGTCCAATAAAGTTTTTGATACAAAAACCAGAGATTTACTTTTTTTTCTCAGTTACATTCTAGTTTATGACAAGTAAGCAATTCTTTAGCTACATTCATTTTTTTATAGCAGATACAAATTTGATAATTTTGCGCTACATTCATTTTGGTACAATATCAATAGTCATCGACAAAACTGATTTTTGTTTCGAAATGCTTGTTATTAAAATTGCATTAAAATTAAATGCGCAGAGAGCAAACAAGTTAATCTAAAAGTATTTATGGTTTTTTTTGTATATAATAGCGTTTAATAAATAAGAACATATACACATATATATTTGTGTATAAATATATACAAATAACAAACAATATAATTTGTAACTTGGAAAAATTACTTATCAAATAGCTCTATACAAAAATTTGTTTCATACACTGCACTGATCTGCATTTTGCTTACTTGCAAGTTTAAGTTGAAAAAAAAAATAAGTCCTGAAATTATTTCAGTGATCTTTCATCGTTTTAAACAGATACTTTTAAAAAATGGAAAAAGAATCAAAAAGTAAATTACGATGTTTACAATAATTATAACATTCTGTTAACAGTAAATAACATTTTTTAAAGAGTTTTAGAAAAAGTAAGAATAAAGGTGAATTAATTTTCAAACAAAATAGACATTTGACAGAAAATAAATGTAAAATGAAAAAGAAATTTGAAGAAATTTATTTTTCATAAACTTGGATTTAAAATACTAAAACTTTATATACCTATTAAATGTAATAACATTTTTAGAAAAAAATTATATATAAATTATATATTTTATATATAATTATATATAAAGTTTTAGTATTTTAAATTCAAGTTTATGAAAAATAAATTTCTTCAAATTTCTTTTTTATTTTACATTTATTTTCTGTCAAATGTCTATTTTGTTTGAAAATTAATTCACCTTTATTTTTACTTTTTTTAAAACTTTTTAAAAAAATCTGTCCGCGCAAGCGCGGACACATTCTCATCCGCGCTTCGCGCGGGGGCTCGCAAGTTTCAGCGCGCCTCGGGGCGCGCGATTATTGATCGTCGCGCTTCGCGCTCCGGCGATTATTTCGCACGTCGCGCTTCGCGCTCCGTGTGTTGTTGCGCGCTTCGCGCGCAAATGGCTCGCTTCGCTCGCCGGGGTCTGCAATTGTTGTGCATTATTTATGTTCTTGTTTCCTATTATATGTTTCATAAAACAGTTTTTTTTCTTAAAGTTACTACGACTTTAAGGATTACATTCTCATCACATGTTTTAGTTTGCTGATGATTGCGATATTAAGTGAATTTAAATGTATATTTTTGGTCTTGATGATTAAAATTGTAAAGTTATTTTTAATTATACTAACTCTCTTAGTAAAAACATGATTTGCAGAAGCAGCTAAAATATTTTTAAAGAATTAGTATCAAATTTTTTGTGTAGTGTAGACCGGAGCGTAATGACTAACTTTTCACTCTTTGTTTACTTACTCAGACATTTTTGTTTTAATTAAGTGTTTATCTCCTAGAAAAGTTACTCTGCGGTATATTACTTTCTCATATGTGATGAGAATGTAAAAAACCATTTCCAACAAGATAGGACCAAAAATTGAAATGTAAAAAGGGGTCACACCAGCGCAACTGTATTAAAAAAATTTCATTGATTTTCTAAAATGTTATATCTTTTATGAATATATTTTAGTTATAACATTTTAGAAAACCAATAAAATTTTTTTAACCCAGTTGACCTCGCCTGACCCAAAAACTTAAAAAAAATTAAGTTTCTATGAAAAAATGTTGTAGAGAAAAGTTGTTTGTATTTTTCTAATCGAAAGTAATATAAAATTAAAAATATTGAAATTTGAAAAAATTGAATTTTCAAAATTTTGAAACTACTGTAGTTTGTGTAGTTTTCGACGAAAATGGCTGGCTAACGAACTCGATCTGTATTTTAACAGTAACTTTGTGCATGCAAAGTTGCAAGTTGATGCAATAAGTTTTTCAAGAGTTATCGTAGGGACACCATTGTGTCTACAGACAGACACGAAGACAGACATACAGACAGACACTTTTTCTAGACCATGTTTAACAGACTCAGGGGACCCCAAAACGTCGAGATTTCAAGAAATTAGCGAAAGTCAATTTTCGACCAAAACTAATACTTTCTCATGTGATAATAATGTAAAAATGATTAAAAACAAAAAATATATTCAAATAGTGCAATTGAAAATGAAAAAATCATATTTCGAATTTTATATCGGTTAACCAGAACTCAAAAAAAATTTGTTTAATTTAGAAATACTAAAAAATTAAATTTTTAATAACTTTAAAAAAAAAATTTCTGAGTAATATGTAAAGCAATATTTCTAAACAATGTTGAGAGACAAAAAAAAAAATATTTTGATATGAAAGTAAAATTTTTTAATTCTAGATAAACCGTTTGGCTAAATCTGGCCCAAAAACTTAAAAAATATACCTGGCCCAAGAACTTAAAAAAAAAAAAAAAAAAAAATTCATAACTTTTTTGTTTTTTGTTGTACTGAAAAGTGTTTAAGGGAAAAGTTGTTTGTTTTTGCACCAAATTTAAGGAAAAAATTTAAAAAAAATATTTTTTTGAAAATTGTAAAAAATACAAAATTTTGAAAATTTCAAAATTTTGTATTTTTGTTGTTTTTTGACGAAATGGGCTGCCCAACGAACTCAGGCTTCATTTTTATGGACTAAAAAAGTGTGCCAAATTGCAAGACGATTCATAAAAATTTATTCGAGTTATCGTGGCGACAAATTTTTCTACAGACAGACAGACGGACAGACACTTTTCTAAAAACCATTTTTTTGGAATCAGGGGGTCATGAAACGTAAAGATTTAGCAAAATTAGACATTGCTCAAAATCGCACAAATCCAAGACTTTCTCATTTTTGATGAGAATGTAATTAAATTTTTAATAACTTTAAAAAAAAAATCTCTGAGCAACATGTAAAGCAATACTTCTAAATAATGTTGAGAGTCAAAAAAAAAAATATTTTGATTATAAAATAAAATTTTTTAGTTCTAGATAAACCGTTTGGTTAAACCTGGCCCGAAAACTTAAAAAATATACCTGGCCCAAAAACTTAAAAAAAAAAAAAAAAAAATTCATAATCGCACAAATCCAAGACTTTCTCATTTTTGATGAGAATGTAAAAAACAAATATTACGAAAAAATTCAAAAACAGCAAAATTTTCGGATATTTTGAGATCTTTTTTGCTCCTAATTTTGTATATTTACCTAAATTTGGCATCTAAAAGAAAAAACTTAAAGTTTTGACATGTTTTTAATGTTTTTTAATGTTTCGGCTAATGCTTCACTCACTATAAATCTCAATTTTTTGCACTTTTTTGGAAAAAAAATTCATAACTTTTTTGTTTTTTGTTATACAAAAAAGTGTCTAAAGGAAAAGTTGTTTGTTTTTGTACAAATTTTAAGGAAAAAATTGGAAAAAAATATTTTTTTGAAAATTGGGAAAAATACAAAATTTTGAAAATTTAAAAGTTTTGTATTTTTGTGGTTTTTTGACGAAATGAGCTGTCCAACGAACTCAGGCTTCATCTTAATGGACTAAAAAAGCACCCCAAATTGCAAGTCGATTCGGTAAAATTTATTCGAGTTATCGTCGAGACAAAATTTTCTACAGACAGACAGACACTTCTCTAAAAACCATTTTTTTGGAATCAGGGGGTCATGAAACGTGAAGATTTATCAAAATTAGAAATTTCTCAAAATCGCACAAATCCAAGACTTTCTCATTTTTGATGAGAATGTAAAAAATGTTATTTACTGTTAACATCGTAATTTACTTTTTTGATTCTTTTTCCATTTTTATAAAAAATGTAATTCTTCATTTACAGAAGAATTGTAAAATACAAAATACTTCTCTTTCAAATTTCAAATTTTTTAACTTTCCGAAACTCAAAATATGCATCAAAAGCCACATTAAAATTTTAGAGCTTTCTTAAAAGGAAAAAAATTGCTTGTTAGTTTTGTTAATTAAGAATAATAAACTTTTAGGAAAAAGAAAAAAAAAATTTTAAATACAATAAAAAATAAAAATTTGATTATTTCTATGAATTTTGCAAGTTTTTTGAACCATGGAGCGTCAGATATAATATTAATAATTATAAAATATTTTTTAAATGCTTAAACTTTGAAGAATAAAATGGAAAATTTCGATACAAAAAATTAATTAGATTTCCAATTTTGAAAATATTAACTTTTTTACGAAAATTAATAAAATTAATGTAATTAATCACAGTGTTTTAATTATCTCAAAATTTATATAAATATGAGAGATTAATTTAAATTAAGTATGACAAGATAGGCTTCTTTCTTAAATAGTACGCACTACAGCATTTAAATTCTAGCAAACATGCAAATTGCAATTGTACTTAAAAAAATCAGGATAATACAACAATAGAATAATTTTCTTTTAATCACTATTGTCAAAAATGTTTGGAATAAACATCAATTGTTGGCATAATTATCAATTTATAGAATAAAAAATATATGACCCTTTTTAGAAGTAATTAAATATTCTTTTGTTCTATTATCCTTATTTACTTCATATACGTTCCCGTGAACATAACTCTTTGACACAATTCCACAAATTTTTTTTTATAAAACTGTAAAAATATATTTATTTTTCTAAAGACTTAAGCGAAATTATTGGCTGAATGTTAAGTCTGCTTATATCTACTATAGATAACTATTATTTTAAAGAAACGAACATTGCGCTAAACTTTTAAAATCTCTAAATTTGACCAGAAATTGTTCTGCAGTAAAAGGAATAAAAAATAGAATACACAATGAGATTCACTAAATGGAATAGGGGAGAGTAGGCTACATTGAACCGAGTTTTTTCTAAAGTCCAAGAACTAATTAAATTTTACAAATTTTGATCAGGTTTTTGTATTAAAATAAAACTGAAGTATTCCTTTAGTTAATACACACGTTACAAACACAAATTATTATGATTAAATAATAAAATTGAATTTTTTTCTAACCAGTTACACTTTTCTTATTTCGAAGGATGTGTGTCTACATTGAACCACCTCTAATAAAACACTACAATTTACTTCGAAAATAATATTTCCACTTACATATTGTAAAAAATCTTATTTTCCACTCACAAAAATAGAAAATTGTTGTTAAAGAGTTACACAGGCCTGCAAATTTTGGCTTAGTTCTGTTACAGAAAAAGTGGTAGGTGATTCTTATAGCTTTTTTGACGTAGAATACGAATCCGATTTCCAAAATGGCCCTTCACGTCAGGATTTCTTGTAATATTGCCTTAAATAGCCAAAAAATGGCTATTTTAGACACTTTTCGGAATTTTTTTTGGTTAACCAAAATTTTTTTGTTCAATTTGCACAATTGAATCGTATAGTACTATATCTAAGCTTTAAAACCCATTTTTCAAAATTGCTTTACGATTTTTTAAAAAAAAGTTATGTAGATTTGAAATTTTTTTATTTAGGAAAATGTATGTATAAAGAAGTTCAAAATGGCATTTAATTTCAAATCTACATAACTTTTTTTAAAAAAATCGTAAAGCAATTTTGAAAAATGGGTTTTAAAGCTTAGATATAGTACTGTACGATGCAATTGTGCAAATTGAACAAAAAAATTTTGGTTAACCAAAAAAAATTCCGAAAAGTGTCCAAAATAGCCATTTTTTGGCTATTTAAGGCAATATTACAAGAAATCCTGACGTGATGGGCCATTTTGGAAATCGGATTCGTATTCTACGTCAAAAAAGCTATAAGAATCACCTACCACTTTTTCTGTAACAGAACTAAGCCAAAATTTGCAGGCCTGTGTTATTATTTGTTAATATAGGAGATTAATATATTTTGATGTCAGGTTAGGTAGGTAAAGTGACAGTTTGAGTTTATCTCGTTCACAATTGTGATAAAAGCATGTCTTCCAGTATTTTTCTTACTAATTAGTAGAGCAGACAACTTTGCAACTCTTAAAATTGAAAATTCTTTGCTTTTTCGGGTGGTTCAATGATATGCCGCACTCACTGTATTCACATGAAATTCACAACAAAAATTGTTTATAATAAATTTATGTAAGATTAAAATTAAGAATAAAAAAAATAAATAATAATAATAATAATAATAATAATAATATTTATTAAAATTAAGATTTAAAATTCTTTTTCACATCGGAATATTGAAGTTGAAACCCAAAGCGAAATAAATCACAAGTTCACTAATTTTTAAAACTTCCTATTTCAATAAAAAAACGTCATTATAATTCCACAAACTTTTTTATTATGTACGTGAAAAACAGTTTTTTTTTTAGTTTTTCTTTGTAAATAATAAATCTACGTGCCGGAAATTTTTGGACATAGTCTGTTTCGGTAAAACTAACTTATTATACTGAATAAGAAAAAATTTCACTCAGTCATTTCTCAGAAAATTAAAGCGGTTCACTATTGACGCTGGTTCAATGTAGCTCACTCTTGCCTACTTTTTCAATTAACATTAAGAACAATTTTTTTCCCCAATTTTATCAGAATTAGATGATTTATTTCTATTCTATTGCCTTACACTTTCAAGACAATACTTTCTTTCTTTTTTCGTTTTGACTTTTGTAAAAAGAAGAAATTAATTTTCTATTAAAATTCAATTTCAATAAAACTGAAATTTCTTTGGTTGCAGCAACAAATTTAGATAAAATTCTCAACCTTAACAAATATTGCATTTATTTAGCATTTAATTAGCATTTAATTAGAGTGAGAAATGTAAATGCAAGTCGTTGTACGAAATAGTATTTCATTCTGATTATAATTATTATATGTATATGATTGTTATTAACTTATTCGCTTTATGTTTAATCAATTGTGTCTAAACGAAAGTAACATATTTTAATAAAAACCTATTTTTTCATAAAATGAATTTCTGCTGTGACATTTAATTATTTTTTCATTTTTTATATTCCATTTTTAATGTAAAACTTAATTTGAAATTAAATGGAAAATAAATGGAAATCTGCAACCAAAAATAACAAAGTCCGACAAAATATATTTCTTGTTTTCTCTTCCTGGGACTAAATTTTTGCCATTTGAATTACTTAGATTATTTTAATGCTACAATGAGATCAAGTAATATTTTAATTCGAATCTTTAAGATCTGATTGCATTCGATTGAAAATTAATGTTCAACATTTTACACCATTATTAAAAATTATTGAACTAAGTACCAGCAAATGATAAAAAGTTGCTAAATATTCCATTCAGTTGTTGCCTTTTGTTATATAATTACAGTATTGCGTATATCTAATATTCGAAAAGTTGTTCTGATTACTATCGTCCAAGAAAGTCACTTTGATCCGTAACCAAAAAGTGAAATACGAAAGCCGCTTTTTTTCGATCAAATGTTGCTTGAGTTACTCTATTTCTTAACTGAGAATCATCTCGACTTCTTGGTGGATCTCGCAAAAATATTGATCCAAAGAGAGTCGCTGAAATAAATAACGGAATATAAGTTTTTTTGCACATTTTGTTTACGATAAAATTAAACAAATTTTCTAAATATTAATTTAAACAAATTAAAGCAAGTTATGGATTTTTAAACTTTTCTGAGAAAAATTATTTTTAATTGAATCTTTTTGTCACAATTTAGAACAATCTGCATTAAATAATAAAAATTAATTCAAAAATAAATTGTTACTTAAACAAAATTATCATTAAAAAGTATTATGTCTAAATGTCTGATCGTCTCATTTTTTATATATAAAATGGGTGACAAATAAATTATATCTGACACTTGAAAAGGATAAAAGATTTTGAAAAAACGATGTATTTTTCGGTGAAATATTAAAAATTTTAAAACAGAAGAAAAATACATTACCTAAAGTTTTTGCGTCCAAACCATTGTCTTGAGTGTGACTCAGAAGCTCTTTCATAAATGAACAAATATAAAGGAAAACTGTCCTTCTAATTTCTGGCAGTTGCATGACAATCTATTGAAATTAAAATATTCATAAACAATTTTTTAAAATAAAAAATTAGATTTCTACTTTTCTAAATTTTCAACTCGAAAGTTTGTTACAATAAGAAATAAAAGATAATTTAAATTTAATTTTTTACCTCCTTGCACTTCCAGTAATTAGTTGCAGTAGAAAAACATACATTATGATGATTGTATGGAATTATTGGTTCAGCAGTCGAATCTAAAAGAAGAAGTAAAGCTTCGGCTACGGAATGCACACCTCCAGCTATTTCCAAATGTTAAAGAAATATCTTTAAACAAACGAAATCTAAAAAGTTAATTTTAAATATTTTAAAAATTCATTCATTTATTTTTTTTAATTTTACGAATATGAGCAATTCCACGCCAAGTGATCATAAGAATTTTCGATGATTTTAGCAATATTAAAAATACTTTTAGAATTTGTTCCTTTTTATACATGGAATAAAAGTGTATAAAAGTTTTTTCAAAATTTTCAAAATTTTTTGAGTTACCTCTTAGGGGCCGTACACATAAGTGTGACATGGGGGAGGGGGGGGGGGTGAACTCATGTGTTACGTCACAATCTTTTAAATTCAAAGATTATAAGAAATTATATGTGACAATGTCACTTTTTCTAAATAAAACAAGTTAAAAATGCTTTAAACTATTTAATATCTATTATGTACCTGTTTAACATCTATTGGTATATTATTTATAATATGATAAAATAATATATTCTCTTAATTTGAATCAGTTAAAAATCATGGTTTTAACTGACAATCAGCAGTGACTGACTTTTTGCTTCTGAATCAGTAAAAAATAACAGAAAAATTATCCACAAAACACCGAAACTTTTCTAAATATGTATATTAAAGTTTTATGCTTGCATACTTCGAAAAATTTACTTGAAAAGTTTAGTTAAAATTGTGTAAAGATTTAAATTTCTCACTCCAATGAATGTTTATCGTCAAATTTTCTTAAAAATATAGCTTGAAACTTTCCTGAACATTTGAATTACATTTTCGACTATACTTTCGTGAAAATTTAAGTTAAATTTTCAGGAAAGTTTTGCGCTAAACATTTATTGAAGTGGGATATTTAAATCTTTACACAATTTTCACTAAACTTTGCATTTAAATATTTCGAAGCTTGCGAGTAAATCGATTTACTCGCATTTACAAAGATCTTTAATAAATTTTCAGGAAAGTTTCGGTGCTATGTAGGTAGTTAAACGTGACTAATTGAATCAATAAAAAAAAATTGTATTGAAACATCAGTTATTTTTAACTAATTGTCAGAAAAAAAATATTACTATTTGAATTAGTGACTGACTTTTTGCTTCTAAATCAGTTATCTTTAACTGATTCAATAATTTAGAGTGTAGGATATAATATATAATGTCCAATGTATAAAATTTACAGTGAAATTTACGTGTGTGACGTGACGTAGGCCCCTTACTCAAAATTTTGATCGGTTTTTCAAAAAAGGCACATAACTTTTTTCCTTGTTAACCGATTAAGATATTTTTTTTGTAAATATTGTCAATAAAGTAAAGAATACTCCCTGTAAATTTAATTATGGGACAACAATAACTTTACGAGAAAAAAAATAAAGTGCATGTATTCACTTATGGCGGCGTAAGATTCGTTTCAAATCACTCTACAGGTCACAATTCTTTACCAAAACACTTTTTTTTTTTCTAAATCTTCGTAATTAAATTCTCTATCGATCTCTCGAGCCTTATTTTTTGTTTTTAAACATTTTTTAAATAACAATAAGTATTAATAAAATCGTAAAATATATTTTTTTCAGTTTTATTGATTAAAAAAATTAATCAAAAAACCTATTAAAATAATGTTTGATTGATAAAAAATAAAAAATTATTTACCCGTGTGGAAAAAGCCCCCATCAAGCCCACACGACGTGAGGACCCCCGGCAGGGGCCGACGAGGGCTGATCCATGTGGGCAAATCTATGAGGGCCACACTGGGGGCCCGCATGGATTGCCCACATCATTGACTTGCAAAAATTTCTAAGTCCAAACTTCAAATAATTTTTTATTGCTTCAAAATTAATGTTTATAATGATTATAAACAATGAAAAAAACATATGGGTGATTCTCCTGAAAGGGACCCTTTTTTGGTTGAATTTCCAAAAAATCAAATTATTCTTTTTTTGTTACTTTTCTTTCATAAATAAGTTTAGAAAATGTTTAAAGATAAAAATATAAGTTGCGCAAAATTAATTTTCAGAAATAAGACCTCCAGGAACATTTTATTATCATGTGTTCTAGAGGTTAAGTATAATTAATTATAACTTTTAAATTAATTATTTTGTAAAAAAACTCGGTAGGAATATTTTTTTTAAATAATAAATTGTTATGTTTTAATTTATTGCACTTTTTGATTGTATATTTTATTTTTATTAAATTAATAATTTAATTTGAGGGTTAAATATTTCAAAACAATGATTAAAAAATTAAAAACAAACAAAAAATATTTTTTTACATAACAAAAATTAATGATTATAATGATTTTAAACAATGAAAAACACGTTTTTGTTATGGCGTATTAGTGTCAACAATGTTTTATTGAATCATTTAAAGCAAGTCAGCAAGTCACCTACAATAAATAAATAATTTTCAAGTAGGTCCCTTAGCACAGTGGTTAGAGCGAGTATATTTTTCAGTTTTTTATAGATTCGCTCATGCGATATTTTTTTTCACTGAAGAAACAAAATAATATAAAAAAACGTAACAATTTATTGTGTCTAAGGAATAAAGAAACAATGTTAATAGAATTTTATATTGGGACGAAAACGAATTATCGACGAATTTACGGCAAATTTTGTCTGTTCGATAGGAAAAAAATACATGTTTAATAACCAAGCCATGTAAAAACATGTGATTACGACGCTCTTTTTTTAAATTGTTTATTGCGTTACGTTGTACCAATTTTATGGATGTTATAAAAAAAAAGTGGTTAGAGCGTTTGTCTGGTAGTCGTAGGTTCTATACCCGCGTGCGTCAGATTTTTTTCTTTTTTTGGTCACAATTTAATTAAAAAAAGTAAAAATCGTTAAGTAACAATGTTATTTATTAATAACACAGGCCTACAAAATTTAGAATTTTGTCAGACCCACAAACGGGATAAGTGATTTCCGATGTAATTTGTCACCCTGAATCCAAAACTGGCAGCGAAATTGCTCTATCACGTCAGGATTCTGAGATATTCTAACCTAAAAGAGTAAAAAAGGCCATTTTTGGCAATATTCGACTCTCCATAAAATCTACAAAAAATTTTTTGTATCATTGGAACGAATTTTTAAAAAAGTACAATTATTCACCTTTCAAAATATTCTACACCCGATCCGATTCGACTTTTTTTTACTAAGATACAACAATTTAAAGTTTAGGTTACACGACCTAAAAACTGAAAAAAGGAAGAAAAGAATAATTGGAGAGTACTTTAACTTAAGCATCTGATTCTTAATATTTTGGGATCGTTGATTAGAAAACCGATGTCGGATTTTCAAAATTCAAAATGGCGGATCCAATATGGCGGCTGTCAAAATAAAAAATTGATCGGATTCGCTTGAAACTTTTTACTCGGGGCTTTTTGAGGTCGCTAATTACGAATCCGATGTCAGATTTTCGAAATTCAAAATGGCGGATGTAATATGGCGACATATTTTTAAAAAATTTAACGGAGTCGCTTGAAACTCCTTACTCGAGTGATTTCGAGGTCGCTTATTAAGAATCTAGTGTCACATTTTTGAAATTTAAAATTATTGTGGATCTAATATGGTATTATATGTTAGTAAAATCGAAAAACGTAAAATTCGAACATTTAGGGCATAATTTATACACTCTTTTAGTAAAGAAAATTAAAAGTTTTATTTTTCTTTATGAACCTTTACACATTTTTCTACAAAGGATCTTCGTATAGTTGGTTTCGTTTTTAGAATATAATACAGAATCACTCCTTTGCTTATATCTAGACCTGTAAATACATCTTTTCTCAATTTAGATATCTATAGGTGTGGAAATCTTTTTTTCAAGTACTCAAAAGACTTCGAATTTTACGTTTTTCGATTTTACTAACATATAATACCATATTAGATCCACAATAATTTTAAATTTCAAAAATGTGACACCAGATTCTTAATAAGCGACCTCAAAAACACCCGAGTGAAGAGTTTCAAGCCACGGCGCCCTCAACGATCAGCATGTCGTTTCCATGAGGGGCCTCGCCTGGATCACCCACATGGGCCCCTCATGGATGTGGGCGATCCATGCGGGCCCCCGGCGTGGGCCAACACCTCTTTTCCACACGGGTAGTTAAAAATTGTTATACAATAAAAAGTTATTATTTTGTCATAAACATTACTTAGGGTTAAAAATTTATATTTTTTCTTGCAATTTTTCATAAGTAAAGTATTCGAGTATAAAAGAAAAATTAAAAATGAATTATTTAAACATTGTTTAAACAATTTATTTTGTTAATTTTTTAATTTACTATAGTTAAAATTATAAATTCTTAGTTTTTCTCATTTGTGTAATTTTTGATAACTTAAACACTTAAGTATAATAGAAAAACTAAAAATGTATTATTTAACCCTTGTTTAAACAGTTTATAGTTTTCAACTTTTCAATTAATTGTTTAGAAAAAATTAGAAATTTCTAACCCAAATGAAACTTATGAAAAAAGTACATAAGAAACAGATATCAATTTTTTACCCTAAGTATAAATAGTTTATGAAAAAAATAGCAACAATTAATTGTTTAAACAATGTTTTAATAAATAATTGTTTTTTTATCATCAGTAGATATATTACTCATGAAAAATTGTACACACAACACACACACATACATACATCCGGACAATTGTTTAGGGTCTTATATAACATAGTAATTTTGTAAATTAAACGACTACAAAGCTTCCTCACGAGGAAGCAAAACATAAAGAATCATGTAAACGATGGTTGTAGTAATGAAAATAATAATAAATAATAATACGGGATTGAATTTTAATTAAATAAATATTTTTTTTAATAAAAAAATACAAATGTTTGTCATTATCAGAGAAACAATATTAAAGGGTCCAATTCTCATTGGAAGACAATTATTTTTCATTGTAAGTAAATATTTTAATGAAAGAAACATTTTATTTAAAAATAATTTTTATGAAACTTTAATTCAATGGAAATATCCTATGGCCGGTTTGCCCCACAGGCCCATTTTGAGAATAAATGTTTGTCAAAAAGAAACGCTTTGCAAATTCATCAAAGTTTTTGGTGGTAAATATTCCTGAGGTGTGTACCTTCAAAACCTAAGACCTAATATTTGGAAACATTACACGATTTTCTCAGAATTTCCTTAAGAAAAAATTCGTAAAAGTGTAGAAAAAAACTTAAAACAAAATTTTTGCTCCTTTCGTCGCATGATCGCAAGCTAAAACTGTCAGATGGAAAAAATAAGGTATACTAAACATGGTTGTTTTAGTAAACAACACTTTTTCCAATTTCGCCATTTCGGAAATATTGAGAGGGGTCCGGTTTGCCCCACTCTCCTCTAATAATAATTATATAATTAATAATTTTACAATTATCAAAGATTATTAAAATTTATCATAGTAAATTAAATTCTTATAAACAATTTTATTAGAGATTATCTAAATTTGGAAGAATTTCTCTAAGTTTTTTAAAACTATTGTTGTTTTTTTTAACAATTTTAATTGAAAATTTTGAAAATAATTGAATGAAGGAAATAATTATTTCCAACTTTTTAAAATAATCGTGTCTATTAACTAAAAATTTGATTATTGAATTTTATTAAAATTATATGGAAAATAATTAACTTACTAAGAAGAATTTTATTATTTATAAAAATAATTTATTTCTTGAGCAGAATTTTACTATTTCCAGGCCCTCAATTGAATTCTTGTAAAGAATTATATTAAAATTTTTTAAAATAATAAACAATAATAATTAATTATGTACTTATTAAGTGAATTTAAAAAATTGTTTATCTGAAATTATTCAAATAATAATAATAATGCACAATAATAATAAATTGAAGATGATGTTTCGCGCGCGTAACATTTGCTAGTTAGGGGCCGTTCATAAACTACGTCACACTATTGTGCATAATTTTTCCACCCCCCCCCCCCCCTACCCACGTCACAAATTTTACATGTTTTAGCGCCAATTTTTCTACAGAACGTCACAAAAAATGAATTCCACCCCCCCCCCCCCCCCCAAGGCGTGACGTAGTTTATGGACGGCTCCTTTGTTTTAATAATTTTCAGAAAGAAATTCAAGAATTTAGTTTTTTAAATGTTAAAATTCAATTTTTTACACAAAGGACCCCGCAGGAAATAAATTAGTTTTTAGTGCCAGTCGATTTTCTTATAAATTTTAAATTTCAGTTTGTGTTCAGTCTGAAGAAAATCGATTAGGACCTGAAACTAATGTATTTCCTGCGGGGTAGGATGACCTTAATAAAAAAAGTTATCATACAAAATGTTAAATCCCATTTAAACTTTAACCCTTCTAAAGCAAATTCCATCTTTTGCAAAATAACGGTGACCCTACTGGTGAACTGTAACTTTTCATGGTTTTTTTTCAAGTTTTTCAGGTGAAAAAGAAAATTAAAGGATGATTTATAAAAATAAGTATTTCGAGAAAAAAATGAGCAGTTTAATAAAATTTAGTTTTTGAAGGATACGCATAGGATCTTGACTGCCAATGTCCAACCAGTCTCTAATAGCTATAATTTCGCTGGGAACGCCTCGTTTTTCAAAAAGACCTGGAGTTTTAATTCCATGACGATACAATCGATCAACTAGAAGCCACACTTCCTTAGGCACGGCATAAGGTTCTTGTGAGGGGTTTTTATTATTTTCCTGAAAAAAACCGAAAAAGTTGTTAATTTCCATCTCATCATTTATATTTTTTCTTCTGAAAAGAAGAAGAGATTCTTACCAACTCCATTATCCTTCCAATAGGAACTTCTCTTATAGGAACTGGAATGTGTACTAAAGCTTCCATTGATGAACCGAAACAACTTCTCTCATAAGTACCTAAAATCAGAAGCAAGATAAATGAAAGATTTAAAAAAGTAACAAGAAAAGCAAACATTTTTTAAAGCTTTCAAGTTACCTGTTACTGTAATAAAAATATCTTTTCCACCTTCTAAATGTAAGACTAGTATATCATAAAGTTTATCCTCTCCAGAATTTAGTTTGCAAGCCGATCTTTTATCAACAAGGACTTTCAGTTTAACGTCACACTTTTCCCCTGAGGCGCAATAAAATATTAAATACATTTTATCAAATAAATCGTCAAGAATAGTATTTTATTTATGTATGTATAAATCGATCTTACCAGGTTCAATGAAACCAAAGTAAGGTTTTATTTTTAACCAATCTTTACAGTAACTGGTGTCGTCTAGTTTTTTAATAAATTCAAATTTAACTGGGACCTAAAGTAAAATATGAAGTAAAACAGTTGTTTAATAATTATAAACTTACTTAAAAGAATTTTTAAAACTAGAAAACATTATTATAATCTAACCTGACCAGTGTTGGCAATGATCAAATCTTTGCTGTGTGGTTCAAGAAATCTCAAAGTGTCAAATATTATCTCCGTAGCATCAACCATTACTTGAGGCAAGAATTCATTTTCGAGTTTATCTAATTTCTTCATTACTTCCTCGTGTGTTTTACGATACTTAACTCTATCTATTACGCTAATCTGAAATCATTATCATTATAGTTGCATTAATTATAAAATTAATTAAAGATTATCATCTTCTACTATAAAGTTACTAACAATTTTTTTCTGAACATTTGAAAAAATCATGAAAAATGTAAACTAGAGACTTGAATAAAAAATATTTACCTGAGAATCAAAAATGGCACTGACTGGTTTATGGTCGGATAATTTTAGTTTAGAATGACTTCTATATTCAACAGAGGCAATAGCCTCCCCTTTCCATAAAACACGATCACACCAAGCGGGCGCTCTCCCTTTTTCACTATTTAACAAAATTATTACATTCATTTCAGAGAAATTGAAAGAAACAATATTTTAATTTTCTCTGAAGAAAGCTGATTAACATTAAATGTATGATATCCATTCTATTCTTCAAAACACTAAGTACTTTGAAGAAAATTAAGCCATTTCTTTTTATTGGTGAAATAAACAACTTTTATATAGTAGGGGAGAGTCTCCAGTTGTGAGACGGGTTTTATTTTTGACCCGTAAATTGTAAACGGGTAAACGAAATTGTAAATAAAATACACCGTTTGAAAGGTAACAGAAATACGCAACTTTTATTAAAAGAAAGTATAGTGTTTCGATGAACTCAAAAAATTTTACGATACATTTTCCGAGCACATCGCTTTTTCAAAAAAAAAAAAAAAAAAAATGTCTCCAGTTGTGAGACACTCATTAAAAATTGCTAAAATTTAATAAGTTTGACATAAAACGTTATGTTTAGTAGAAATAATTAAATATATTAATAATATATATTATTATATACTGAATAATAATATTTATTCGCCAAAATATGACTATCAAATAAACACAATTTAATAGCTTCAACAAGAGCATTAAAATTGATTTCTTCTGAATCAATTGACTTTTTTCCACTTGACATGCTTGCAAAGTCGTATTTTTTATGTTGCCCAGATGGGTGTTGACACCGTCTCACAACTGGTGATATGCCGTGTCTCACACCCAGAAATTGGCGCTATTTTGAAAAAGGAAAATTAAATTATTTTCAACCGTAGATTGGAACAATGCAATATTGCATCACAAAATATAAGGAAAACACTAAAAGAAAATGCATTACATTTACCTTTTCTAATTAATTAACTTGGAAAAAAGTACTTTGCATTTATTGAAAAAACGCTTTTTAGTCGATTATCACACACAGTGTTGGTATTTATCAAAAACAGTTTATATATCCGCTTCAGCGTACACGAAAAAGTTGGCTCATATATAAACCAATCGGCTTTTTAATATTGCATGTTAAAAAAAATTGACTGTCTCACAACTGGAGGTGTCTCACAACTGGAGACTCTACCCTAGTTATAATAGATTTCAAATGAACACAATTTTTTAGTCATTAAAAAATTTAGTCTCTTGGAAAAATATTAAATCTAGAAATAAAATAAAAATATAAACAATCAATTTTCACTCACTCAGGCCTCGGATTTTATTCAGTTTTGTCACAAAAATTTTATTTCCCAATTTCTTCATCTTTCATTGATTTTTAAATTCAATTATTCAAAACTTGAATAATTTTATTATATAAATGTTTCTTTTTCACACGGATAAATTTTTTTTTTTAAATTTCAATTTAAACTCTTCTGAAATTTAATTATTTCTAAAATTTACAACTGTAAGTAATGCCAAAGTTTAATTATTTTCTATAATAACTTTTAACTAAACTTCTTCCCCAAAACAATTATTTTTTACAATTTTCCAAATGTTTTCGAGGATTCAATTATTTATAATACCTAATTGTAATTAATTCTTTATGGTTTTTTTCAAAAATTATTAAGATGAATTATTGAAAATTTTTAATAAAAAATATTGAAAATAATTGATTTTTAACAAAGTTTAATAAAACAATTCTTCAATTTAGTTCTTTAAAAATATTTTAAAATAATTTTTAAAAGTTAATTATGTTAATTAAAGTTAATTATATTTGAACTAGCAAATGTTACGCACGGATATTCAATTTATTATTTTATTTATTTATTTGTTTATACACCTGTCTTCAGCCTACATAACTTGGCTATACAAGTGTCTCTATACAAATTTCTCTCTGACAATTATTTCTTAAATACATTACTTAATACTAAATTTTGCGCCTACAGAGCGACTTGAAAATTAGGAGTACTCGCATTTGCCTGGACCACCCGTCTAATGGGTTTTCTCGCCAGTGGAGAGGGAAACTATAGAAAACCTCTCCTGAGTACAACCGGTTTATCGACAGTCGAGTTCTAATGGTGTTTACCGGAGGGACGCATGATTATTCCCCAAATGTCATTTTACCGAACTGCACTTTTGAGAATAGTCATTTTTGCGAAAAGCCATTTTTGCGAAATGTCATTTTTACTGTTACGTCAAAAACAAGAAACCTTTTTAAATATACCTAACGTTCCTCGTTTTAAATTAGTTTCATAAATGAATCTAATTTGGGATAAGGATAAGTCAATGAGCCTACTAAATGTACTGAGAGAATAATTTATTTAAAAACCAACAAGAAAGAAAAGAATTGACAAAATACAATGAGTATAATTGAGTTTAGAAAATCTTACTTTTAAAGAATAACGATTACTGGTGTTGCATGAACTGGTGGTTGTATCTGGTTGTCCGATCTCCAATGGTGTTGAGGGCTAGACTCAATGGGGCCTGTGACAGTTGTTCTTAATGGTTGAGTGTTGATCCTCTTGTTTACACTAATGAGATAGTGTATTGTATTTTGAAAATATCTGCTTTTTTCCAGACAGTTGTCGCCTCTTGAACAAATTTCGATGCTTCGAAATTTGTTATACTTCGATATAAGATTTGTTGAAACTTGGAACTGCGTTTCAATATTAGACTTTCGTTGATACTTGGGTTTATTTCCAATTTAATATTTTTTGGAAATTATTAAGTTGTACTTTAAAATACTGATTCGAACTTCGTTTCAAAAATAAAACTTGAAGAAGTAATTCACTCGTTGATGATATACTCTTTACACTAGAGCAATACTAGATCGATGTGTTCAGGTTGATTCCCAAAAAATTACTCTCTCTACTGAAGATGTTATGAGGTTGGCTTTCAAATTATTACTCTCTGTCTAAATGAAAATGCTTGCCCTTTTTATATTAAATTTTCATAACTGTAATGATCCCGAAAATTTGTACACGTGCTAAAATTTGTTTCTCCTTTTGCTAGTTAATAGCGAAAGAACTTATCTTTGCATTGTCGATTTTTCCTCCAGGAGATTGTACGCATCGCCTTTTGTTAAGTTTCTCGGCGTTTGTTGTTCACCTAAGCTTCTCGGGGTTTGCTGCTTTTCCTCTCTTTCGTCCGGCCTACGTTTTAGAAGGTTGTCGAATTGTCGCTTCATCGTTATTCTTTTTACATGAGTAATAATATTACTTTCCTTTCTTGGATTGTTACAGTTTCAAAATACATAGTAAAATACATACAGTAATCAATATGCAAATAATATATGACAATAGAATACAATATTAAAATAAAAAAATGTATAAAATATAATACTAAAATAGAAATGTGTATAAATAATAATTACAATATTTTAATAGAGAAATATACTGAATATAATGCAATAATTAAAATATAGATTATAAGAGTTAAAAAATATATATAGGGTAAGTGTACCAATTGCCGAGGGTGTTCCATTTGTCGATGTTACCATGGTAATAACCAAAAAATATTGTCTTAAATGTCTCATTTGTTTGTTTATATAATATTAATATATTTTTTTTACATTTATAACGCATAAAAAAATTAATATTTATTACTTTCTTTCATTTACAATGTGCTACACTGTTTAAATAAAATTCAAAGTTTGTTTACTCGACAACAGGAACCATCCTCGACAATTGGTACGTTTACCCTAAGGTAAATACAATATGTTATAAGAACACACATACATTATAATTTATAGAGTAATAGGTTACGGATGTAACATTACGAATAGTAATTTTTGCGAAAAGCCATTTTCACGAATAGTAATTTTTGCGAATTTTTATTTTTGCGAATTGTCATTTTTGCGAATCGAAATTTTCACGAATTGTCTTTTTTGCGAATCGACATTTTTACGAATCGACATTTTTATGAATTGTCACTTTTGCGAATCGACATTTTTACGAATTGTCATTTTTTGCGAAAAGCCATTTTTGCAAAAAGTCATTTTTACGAATTGTCGTTTTTGCGAATTGTCATTTTTGCGAGAAGCTATTTTTGCGAATTGTCACTTTTGCGAATCGACATTTTTATGAATTGTCACTTTTCCGAAAAGTCATTTTTGCGAAAAATACAATAGTAAACTTGTAGGTATATATAGATTCACTATTGTATTTTTCGCAAAAATGACAATTCGCAAAAATGATTTTTCGGAAAAGTGACAATTCGTAAAAATGTCGATTCGCAAAAGTGACAATTCGCATAAATGACATTTCTCAAAAATGAAATATCGCAAAAATGGTTATTCGCAAAAATGCCATTTCGTAAAAATGTCGATTCGCAGAAGTGACAATTCTTAAAAATGGCGATTCGTAAAAATGTCGATTCGTAAAAATGACAATTCGCAAAAATGAAAATTCGTAAAAATGACTTTTTGCAAAAATTACTATTCGCAAAAATGGCTTTTCGCAAAAATGACTATTCGCAAAAGTGCAGTTCGGTAAAATGACATTTGGGGAATAATCATGCGTCTTGTGTACCGGACAATAATCGACGGTGCACATCATTATACCTCGACGTCAAACCTCCCGCTCAGATTATCTCACGTGCCGGAAAAATACCAAGCCAAATGGGTGCGAACCAAGGGTACTTTACCCTTGGTCCTTAAACGACCGCCAAGCGAGGCATCTATCCGACTGAGCCAATCTGTCGGTATATTCAATTTATTATTATTAAGCAAATTACAAAGTTTTTTATTTTCAAATATAAATTTTTGAATGATTGTTCACAAAAAAAAATTTAATGGTTTTTTCAATTAGAATTTTATTTCTAATTTATCTGTGTGTAATCATATTATTATAAGTGTTGGTGATTGTGTACGGCACAGCTATATGTCATGGCTTTAGCGAATGAAGAGAGATGGAGTACTTTGTTTTCCTTTATAGACAATCTCACACTGTCTCTCAATATTTTATGTGATGAAATCAAGGTTTCAAATCATCGCGTAGAAGCTCTTTGGGGCCGTACACATAATACGTCACGCGGCTTGGGGGAGGGAGGGGGGTCTAAGAATTGTGACTAAGTGTGACATGGGGGAGGGGGGGG